AACACATCTTAAAGAATTTGAAAACCAAAAGCAAACCGAACCCAAACTTAGCAGAAGAAATAATCAAAATCAGGGCATAAATAAATAAAATTGAAACAAAAAAAAGACCAGCAAAGAAGGTTGTTTTTTGAAAGGTTAAAATTGACAAATCTTTAGCCAGACTAAGAAAAAAGAAAGAAAATGCAAATAAATAAAATTAGAAATGAAAATGGAAACATTACACCTGATACTGCAGAAATTAAAAGGATAATTAGAGACTAATATGATCTACCATATGCCAATAAATTGGAAAACCTAGAAGAAACTGATAAATTCTGAGATACATACAACATACCAAGATTGAACCATGAAGAAATCTAAAACCTGAATAGACTAATAATAACTAATGAGATAGAAGCTATAATAATTTTTTAAAAATCTCCCAGCAAAGTTTGAGACCTGAATGTTTTATTGCCAAATTTTACCTAAGATTTAAAGAAGAACTAATACCAATTCCAATCAAACTATTATGAAAAATACAGCAGCAAGGAATACTTCCAAATTCATTCTATAACTCATTCGTATATCCAAATGAGAGGGAGAGACAGAAAGCTACATGAAAAAAAAAATTGAGGATATTATTCATGAAACTTTCCACAATATCGCTAAAGAGATTGGCATTCAAATCTAGAAAATTCAGAGAAGCCCTATAAGATAATACAAAAGACCACCATCCCCAAGATACATAGTCAACAGGTTGATCAAGAACTATGCAAAATAAAAAATATTAAAGGCAGCTAGAGAGAAGAGTGAGGTCATCTACAAAGGGAACCTCATCAAGGTAACAGCAGACCTTTCAGTAGAAACCATACAAGCCAGAAGAGATTAGGAGACTATACTTAGTATTATTAAAGAAAATCAATTCCAACCATAATTTCATATCCAACCTAAGTTTCATAAGTGAAAGGGAATAAAATCCTTTTCCAACAGGCAGAATCTAAGGGAATTTGTTACTGCCATATCTGCCTTACAAAAGATGCTTAAGAAAGTGATAAACATGGAAAAGAAAGACTGTTACCAGCCACCAAAATAACACAATCAACTACATAGACCACTGACACTATAAAGTGAATACACAATCAAGTCTACATAATAACCAACTGACAACATTATGACAGGCTCAAATCCACACATATCAATATTAACCTTGAATGTAAATGAACTAAACACCCCCACTTAAAAGGCACAGAGTGGCAAGTTGGAAAAAGAAGCAAAACCAAACTGTATGCTATCTTCAAGAGACCCAGTTCACATGCAAGGACATAGGCTCAAACTAGAAGAATGAAGAAGGATCTATCATACAAACAGAAATCAAAAAGAGTAGGGGTTGCTATTCTTATTTCAGACCAAACAGACTTTAAACCAACAATGATCAGAAAGAGCAATGAAAGGCATTACATAATAATAAAGGGTTCAATTCAACAAGAAGACTTAACTATCCTAATATATCTGGCACCCAACACTGTAGCTGCCAGATTCATAAAACAAGTTCCTAGAGACTTAAAAAGAAACTTAGATAAATACACAATAATTGTAAGAGACTTCAACACCCACTGACTAATTGAACAGACCATTAAGGCAGGAAACTAATGGAAATTTTTGGTACCTAAACTTGATACTTGATCAGGTGAATCTCATAGACATTTACAGAGCACTCACCCCAACAAAAACAAAATATACATTCTTCTCATTTGCACCCGGCACATAGACTAAAGTTGACCACATGCTTGGTAATAAAGCAATTCTCAACAAATCCAAAATATATGTATATCAAAATTATCCCAATTTACTCTTAGACAACAGGGCAATAAAAACAGAAATCAGTACCAAGAAGACCTTGAAAAACCATGCAACTAAATTAAAATTTAAAAATCTGTTCTGGAATTACTTTTGGGTAAAAAGTAAAATTAAATTAATTACAACCACTATAGAAAACAGTGTGGAGGGTCCTTAAAGAACTAAAAGTAGATTTACCATTGATCCAGAAATCCCACTACTGGTTATCTACCCAGAGGAAAGGAGTCATTATACAAAAAAGACACCTGCATACCCATGTTTGTAGCAGCAAAATTCGCAATTGCAAAAATATGGAGCCAGACCAAATTTCCATCCATCAATGAGTAGATAGAGAAAATGTGACATATATATATATACACACACACACATATATATATACATACATTTATATATACACACCCCATATATACATATATACATACACCATATATATACACTATATATATACACACACACCAATACCACATACACATATATATATACATATACACACACCATGGAATACTACTCAGCCATAAAAAGGAATGAAATAATGGCATTTGCAGCTACCTGGATGGAACTGCAGACCATTATTCTAAGTGAAGTAACTCAGGAATGGAAAATCAAACATCGTATGTTCTCACTCATAGATGAGAGCTAGGCTATGAGGATGCCGAGGCATAGAAATGACATAATGGACTTCGGGGACTCAGAGAAAAGGGTGGTAGCCAATCAAAAGTAGACTGGATAAAGAAAATGTGGTACATATACACCATAGAATACTATGCAGTCATTAAAAAAAGAATGAAATCATGTCCTTTGTGGCAACAAGGATGGAGTTAGAAGTCATTACCCTAAGTGAAGTAATGCAGGAACAGAAAACCAAATACCACATTTCTCACTTATGAGTGGGAGCTAAACATTGAACACACTTGGACACAAAGAAGGGAATGGACACTGGACACTGCATCTGGGTGGAGGATGCAGACTGAAAGCTACCTATATGGTATTACTTGGGTGACTACATGGGTACCAAAATTGTCTGTATTACATGGTGATACACTATCCTGATTACAGGGGTGCCAAAATTATCTGTACAGTAAACCCCCATGAACATGCAATTTACCCACATAACTAACCTGTACATGTATTTCTTGAACCTGAAATAAAAGTTGGAAAAACAAAGATAAAAAAAGTCTGATGGAAGCTATACATTCATGGCCTACACTTAGCAGAAGAAAAGACTGAAAATGTTGCAAACATAGCAAAATTTAAACACAGAGTGGTAATAAATGAAAACAGATATATAAATAAACATTAGTGAATTGTATGACACCACCAAGTAGCCAAATATACATGCAATTTGAGTCTCCCTATGAGCTGGGAAGAGGGTCTTGAAAAAAGATATTTGAGAAAATATTGGCCAAAAATTTTCCGAATTTGATCAAAAGTATAAACCCACAAATTCAAGAAGCTCAACCAATGCCAAAAATTATATAACTGAAAAAAAAAAGTTAAAGCATATAACAGTCAATTTTCTGAAATCAGTGACAAAGAAAAAGCTTAAATGCAGCCAGTGGGAGGAAAAATCAAATTGTACATACAGGAGTAACGGTAAGAGTGACACCAGATTTCTTTTCAAACACAATATAAGCATGAAGACATGGAGCTATATCTTTAAATTGCTAAAAGGAAAGAATTCTACACCCAGTGAAAATATACTAGAATTCTACACCAAGTGAAAATATACTTCAAAAACAAAGGCAACATAACCATTTTATATCATACAAGAGCTCAAAGACTGAAGCACACATAAATATGCACAACAAGCAATGTTAAAGTAAATTTGTCAGGTAGAAGGCAAATGATACTATGTGGAATTATGAATCTACCAAAAGGGATAAAGAAATAAAAAGCATCAGAAAGTTAATTATCAGTAAATTATATAGAGAAATTATATATTACATATTTATATATTATAATATGTATTTTGAAAGATAATGAGCATATAAAAAGATAATCACATAGTATAGGATTTATAACATATACAGAAGTAAAATGCAATACAACAGTGGCACCAAAATCTGAAAGGGAGAAATGATGCTCACTATTTTAAGTTTTCTATACTATATTTGAAATGTTATAATATCATTTGAAGTAAAAATATGATAATCCTTTAAATATACATATATTATGAAACTATAGCAACTGCAAAAATAATACAACCTAGCATTATAATTACAGTCAATATAGATTTTTAAAATACAAAAGAAGGAAGAAAATGGAAAATCTAACATAGTATAAATTAGACAAATAGAAAATATAACAATTCCTTTAGACTTAAACCCATCCATATCAAAACTCACATTATATGTTAAAGTCATCTTCAAAAGACACACTTTTGATATAATGACAGAAATAATTTAAAAGTAAATTAAAGAAATACTATATAAGTTAACCCTGAGCTCTAAAAATCTGGAATTAGTTTTATATAAAGCAGATTTAAAAGAAAAAATATTACCAGGTACAAGGCAGGTCATTTTATAATAACAAAAAGTGTCACATCCAGAAGATGTAACAATTTTAAATGTTGATGAACTGAATAGCAGAACCTAAATATATTTGAAGGAAAAATGATGGGACTTCAAGAAGAAATAAACAAGTTGATGACTTTATTTTTGGATTTTTCTAAGTTTCTCTTTCAGTAGGCAATAGAAAAAATAGAAAATTAATAAGTATACAGAAACTTTGAATAAAACTATCAATCAACTTGACCAAAATGATAGTCATTAGAAACTCCATACAGAAACATTAGAATATACATTATTTCCCAATGGATGTAGACATTTGCCAAGATAGCATATTATGCTCCACAAAACAAGTCCCAAAACAGTTAAAGGAATTTAAAACATAAAAAGTATGTAATCTGACCACAACAGAAGTTAATTAGAAACCAGAAAGATTAGAAAATTAGAAACAAAAAAAAAATGTGGAATTTTCCCTATAATGGGTTGAACAATGTCAACTAAAATTCCTGTCCTTCCCAGAACCTCAGAATTTGAACTTATTTGGAAACAGGGTTTTTGCAGATGTAACTAGTTAAGTAAAGATGAGGTCACATTGGAGTAGGGTGGGCCCTAAACTCTTTATGACTTGTGTCCTCATAAGAGGAAAAAAGACACATACACAAAAAGGCCAACCCACAGAACACCATGCGATGGCAGAGAGATCAGAGTGATTTAACCAAGAAATTCCAAGACCTGCCAGCCACCACTAGAAGCCAGATGTGTGCAAGAAATCATTCTTTTCAGAGTCTTAAAGAGGGAGCAAAGTTCTGCTGACACTTTGATTTCAGACTTCTAGCCTTCATAACCGTAAGAAAATAAGTTTCTTTGGTTTTAAGTCACCCAGTTTGTGGTATATTTTTTATGGCAACTCTAGGAAACTAATACATTTTCCAAATATTTAGAAACAAAAGTATATGTTTTTAAATAACCCATGGGTCAAAGAAGAAATCAAAAGGGAAATCAAAGTGTTTTCAGATGAATGAAAGTGAAAGCACAAGAACTTAAAATTTTGATGATGTGGCTAAAGTACATTTGGGGAATAAAATGTAATAAACAGCCATATTAAAAAGAAAAGTTCAGCTTCCACCACACATGCAGGCATTTTAAAAATGAAGAAATAAAAAGAAAGAGCAAAGTGGACCCAAATTAAACAGAAGATGTAAAACAATAAACATTAAAATACAAATTGGTGAAATAGAAAACAGAAAATGAATAGAGAAAAATCAACGGAATCAAATCTAGTTATTTGAGCATATCAATAAAAGTGATAAACTTCTAGTCAGACAAACCATGGAAAAAAGAGAAAGGATACAAATTACCAATAACAGAAATGAAACACATGTTCATTCCAGTTTTTTTACGGTTACTGCAGAGGCTGAGGTGGGAGGTTCACTTCAGCCCAGTAAGTCAAGGCTGCAATGAGCTGTGATCTGCACTCCAGGCTGCTTGGCAAAGCAAGACCCTGGCCTCCTCCCGGTCACCAAAAATGTAAAAGAAATAGAAATAGTCAAGGAATTAATTATCTCCTGAAGTCTTAGAGGCAGTGGGGCCCTGCAAACACCTCTATTTTGGCCCCAGGACCCAGTGATACTGATTTCAGAGGTCTGAATAAGGGAGAAAATTTCTGCTATTTAAGAGGATGGTAATTTTTATTGTGGCAATATTCACACTAGCAAAGACTTGGAACCAACCCAAATGTCCATCAATGACAGACTGGATTAAGAAAATGTAGCACATATACACCATGGAATACTATGCAGCCATATAAAAGGATGAGTTCATATCCTTAAAGTAATTTTGTCAGGCAGAAGGAAAATGATACTATGTGGAACTGTGAATCTATCAAAAGGGATAAAGAAATAAAAAGCATCATAAAATTAATTATAAGTAAATTATATAGCAAACATATATTACATATTTATATATTACATTATACTATGTATTTTTAAAAGATAATGAGCATATAAAAATGTAATCATGTAGTATAGGATTTTTAACATATACAGAAGTAAAATGCAATACAACAGTGGCACCAAATTCTGAAAGGGATAAATAATGTAGCTACATGGATGAAGATGGAAACCATCATTCTGAGCAAACTATTGCAAGGATAGAAAACCAAACACCGCACGTTCTCACTCATAGGTAGGAATTGAACAATGAGAACACTTGAACACAGGGCAGGGAACATCACACACTGGGGCCTGTCGTGGGGTGGGGAAGTGGGGGAGGGATAGCATTAGGAAAAATACCTAATGTAAATGATGAGTTAATTAACGGGTGTGGCAACTCAACAGGGCACGTGTATACGTAACAAACCTGCACATTATGCACATGTACCCTAGAACTTAAAGTATAAAAAAAAAGAAGATGGTAATTTTTTACAACAGCCATAGGACACTGATACCCTATTGTATCTTATTAATGAAAAAATGAACTGAAAGTTCTATGAGCCATAATGATTTTATCTCTCTAGTTATTTTATCCCAATATCACACATAACAATAATATTTATTGATAAATGAATGCATACAATGATGGAAGGTAGAATTTAAGAGATATATCTTTTATAATATGTATATATATAAATTCAAATGAAAATACAGGCATACCTCATTTTATCACTCTCTGTGGTGCTTCATGATACTGCACTTTTTACAAATTGAACATTTGTGGGAACCCTGTGTAAAGCAAGTCTTTTGGAGCAACTTTTCCAACAGCACGTGCTCACTTCATGTCTCTGGCTCACATTTCGGTAATATGTGCAGTATTTCCAACTTTTTCAGTCTTCTTATATCTGTTATGGTGACCTGTAATCAGTGATCTTTGATGGTACTATTTTAGTTGTTTTGGACACCACAAACTACACCCATATAAGACAGTGAACAAAATCAATAAATGTGTGGTTCTGACTGCTCAATCGACTCACCATTCCCCATCTCTCTCCCTCTTCCAGGGCCTCCCTATTCTCTTAGGGACAACAATATTGGAATTAGGCCAATCAATAACTCCATCATGGCTTCTGAGTGTTCAAGTGAAAGGAGAAGTTGCACGTTTCTCAATTTAAATCAAAAGCTATAAACGATCAAGCTTGGTCAGGAAAGCATGTTGAAAGCCAAGATAGGCTGAAAGTTAGGCCTCTTGTGCTAAATAGCCAAGATGGAGATGCAAAATTAAAAGTGCTACTCCTGTGAACATACAATGATAAGATTATTGTATGTGTATATGTATGATGATACACTATTGATGATAGGAAGAAAATTTTAGTAAGTCCGGGTAGAAGGGCAAATCAGCCACAACATTTCCTTAAGCCAAAATCTAATTCATAGCAATGCCCTAATTCTTTTCCTATGAAGGTCTGTGAAGGCTGAGAGTGATGAGGAAGCTCCAAAAGAAAAGACAGAAGCTACCAAAGGTGATTCATGAGATTTAAGCAAAGAAGTCATCTCCATAGCATAAAAGTACAAGGTGATGCAGCAAGTGCTAATGTAGAAGGTGCAGCATGTTATCCAGATGATCCAGCTTAGATCACTGATGAAGGTGGCTACACTAAACAACAGATTTTCATTGTAGACAAAACAGATTTTATTGGAATAAGATGCCATCTAGGACATTCACAGCTAGAAAGGAGAAGTCAATGCCTGGCTTCAAAGCTTAAAGACAGGCTAACTCTCTTTTTAGGACCTAACGCAGTTGGTGCAGTTAACTTGAAATGTTAATTTATCATTGCAAAAATCTTAGAGCCCTTAAGAATTATACTAAATCTACTCTGCCTGTGCTCTAGAAATGGAAGGAAAAGCCTGGATGATAGCACATCTGTTTACAGCACAGTTTACTGAATATTTTAAGCCCACTCTTGAGACTTAGAGCTCAAAAAGAAAGATTTCTTTCAAAATATTGCTGCTCATAGACAATGCACCTGGTGACCCAAGAGCTCTGATGGAGATGTAGAAAGAGATCAGTGCTGTTTGCATGCCTAATAACACAGCAACCATTCTGTAGCCCACGGATCAAGGAGTAATTTTGACTTTCAATTCTTACTTTTTAAGATTTAGAGTTCATAAGGCTATCTCTGCCATAGATCATGATTCTTCTGAGGGACCTGGGTAAAGCAAATTGAAAATCTTGCTTTCTCAAATCTTGCTTTCAAAAGAATTCACCATTCTAGGTGTCATTAAGAACATTTGTGATTCCTGGAAGGAGGTCAAAACATCTACATTAACTGGAGTTTGGAAGAAGTTGATTTCAACTCTCATGGATAACTTTGAAGGGTTCAAGACATCAGTAGAGGCCTTGCAACTGTGGTAGAAATAGCAGGAGAACTAGAATTACAGGCAGAGCCTGAAGATGAGACTAAATTGCTGCAATCTCATGATAAAACTTTCTTGAATGAGGAGTTGTTTCTCATGGATGAGGAAAAAAAGTGGTTTCCTGAGATGGAATATATTCTTGGTGAAGAGGCTGTAAATGCTGTTCAAATGAAAGCAAAGAATTTACAATATTACATAAACTTAGTTAATAAAGCAGTGGCAGGGTTTGAGAGGCTTGATTACAATTTTTACATAAATTCTACTGTGAGCAAAATGTTATTAAACAGCTTTGCAAACTACAGAGAAACCTTCTGTGAAAGGAAGACATGATTGGCATTTCAATCAGTGTACTAAGTGGTGAAGATGTGCGCTCACCCGGTGTCAGAGGGCACCATGAATCAATTGAGGGCCTGGATAGAGCAAAAAGGCAAATTCCCTCTCTCTCTCCTAGAGCTGAGAGACTCTACTTCTCCTGCTTCTCTCAGAACTCCACGTCTCTGGCCTTTGGGCTCTGGGACTTGCACCAGTGGTCCCTCAGTTTCTCAGGCCGTTGGCCTCAGACTGAGCGTTATACCATCGGCTTCCATGTTCTGAGGCCTTTTGACTTGGACTGAGCCATGCTGCCAGCTTCCCTGGTTCTCCAGCTTAAAGATGGCCTATTGTAAAATTTCTCAGCCTCCATAATCTCATGAGTCAATTAACCTAAAAATCCCCTGTCATCTCTCTCTCTCTTTCTCTCTCTGTCTCTCTCTCTCATCTATCTATATCTATCTATCTAATTGGTTTCTCTGGAGAACTCTGTCTAATACAGACTTAAAGTTCACAATAGTGTAACCTCCCCCAAGAATGTAACCCCCTAGAAAGCTTGTAACCTCCCCCAAAGAAATTCTCACTCTTATATTAGTCCACACTCAGCCTCCAAAAATTTCTCAAAATTACCTTGTGTTTCTACCAGTTCAAGTCCTCAGAGGGCTCAGGTAAGGAGATGTAACCTGTTACTCTGGACTTGCGTGTCTTTAGATTTTGGGGTAATCACACTTGCCCTGTGACTTCAGTCTTCTGATGGGTCCAAAAATGTCACTAGGTTTCAGTTTGATCAGATTTTTTTGTTTGTTTTTAAGATGTGAGTGAGAACTTCAAGGTCTTATGACAAAGTTAAAACCAGAAACTCCAAAAATGGTTTTGAAACACTCAAAATGATGTTTCTAAGCTCGCGAGTCTATGAATAATATATTTTGGTATTGTAACAAACAACAGAGAAACAATGAGATGTTCACCATATTGCCTTATAATGAACTCTTATGATGTCTGCTTCTATCTACAATTTTATAAATGTAAACTACAGATTAGCAAGGGGTAATTATAACTGGTTCTAAAGCAGATTAACATGCCACATTTTTTGTCATACTTTTCAGAGTTTAAAACCCATTTTATCTGTTATCTAATTTATATATGAAGTTGATAAAACAAAAGGCTACAATAATAGTAACAGAGTAATAATGATGTGTTTCTCATTTTTAATATAGTGTTTTACTTCTGGTATAGACAAGAATCACAAAAGATTTACATGGAAGAGTCAGCAAAGATCCCTTCAAACCACCAAGGGGAATAGAATTTTAAGATACACCCAAGGCATTCTCTTTTTATTTTTTTGAGACAGAATATCACTCTATTACCCAGGCTGGAGGGCAGTGGCATGATCTCGGCTCACTGCAACTTCCACCTCCTGGGTTCAAGTGATTCTTCTGCCTCAGCCTCCCAAGTAGCTGGGACTACAGGCGCATGCCACCACACCCGGCTAATTTTTGTAATTTTAGTAGAGACGGAGTTTCACCATAGTGGCCAAGCTGGTCTCAAACTCCTGACCTCATGATTCACCCTCCTCAGCCTCCCAAAGTGCTGGGATTACAGGCGTGAGCCATCGTGCCCAGTCGAGCATTCTTTATAACAAATGTTACTTTCAGGGAAAAGTCTTAATGGGACTTTATTTCAAAAGGGATAAAGTTTATCACTCTCTTCCTCCTTCTAGGATTTCTGTTTCAACTAATTAGGGAACAAAGGCTAAGAATTACTTAAAAGTCACAGACCAAGGACACAGACCCACTGAAAGAGAGATTTCGTCCTAAGATTAGAGAATGCTTCCACTTTCTCAGCCCTTATCATCATACCAACAGGACTTACTGCAGAAAGTCCTGCAAGATACAAATTTGAAAAGAAGTACGTAGAGAAGCCTGAAATCAGCAAAGGAAATAAAAACAAGGACATCAGAAGCGTTTGAAGCATCCTGGCAACACAGCATCCTGGCAACACAAGCATCCTGGCAACACAGCAAACATTAAACACAGCACAATGCCTAGCCAGATTAAAACAAAACCTCAAATTCAAGGCCAATAAATGTTCTGTTGTCAACATATTGCTATTACTTGCTTTTAATTGGATCTTGTTTTCTCTTTATAGATAAATCCATACACATGAATCACAAGAACAGTTGTTGTTGATGGTGGTGGTGTTTTTCTTTTGAGGCAAGGTCTCTGTCACCCAGGTTGGAGTGCAGTGGCATGATCACAGCTCACTGCAGTCTGGAACTCTTGCACTCAAGATATTCTCTCACCACAGCCTTCTAAGTAGCTGGGGCTACAGGTACATGCCACCAGGCCAATTGGATTTTTTGTTTGTTTGTTTTTCTAGAACCGGGGGTCTCACTATCTTGCCCAGGTTGGTCTCAAACTCCTGGCTTCAAGTGATCCCTACCTCACCCTCCCAAATTGCTGGGAATAGATTTTTAGAAATATTTCTATAGTAGTAACAGAAAGAAAAAAACAGAGCTGACTTAACTGCCTCAGATCCTCAAAATAGTTTTAATTGAATATATATTTGATTTCAGGTAAATGAGGATTTTTTGTCAGGATTATATATGTAGTAGATTCATTTCCTACCTTTAATTTATGTGATTGGCCTTTAAATTTTCTTCCATGAAGGTTCTCATAAACCTTCATGGAAGAAAATTTAAAATTTTTCTGAAATTTTCAAGTTTTTCTGGTACCAAGGCACAAAATTAATAAAAAACTTATAAGGTCGAGGCGGGCAGATCACGAGGTCAGGAGATCGAGACCATCCTGGCTAACACGGTGAAACTTCATCTCTACTAAAAATACAAAACATTAGCCGGGTGTGCTGGCAGGCACCTGTAGTCCCAGCTACTCAGGAAGCTGAGGCAGGAGAATGGCATGAACCCAGGAGGCAGAGCTTACAGTGAGCCAAGATCGTGCCACTGCACTCCAGCCTGGGCAAGAGAGCAAGACTCTATCTCAAAAATAATAATAATAATAAAATAAATAAACAAATAAATAACTTATGCTTTCAAAGGGAATAAACATAAACTAGAATTAGGAAGTTATAGAAACTTTGCTTTAAAAAAACTCACCAAGTCAGGACAATCATGGTTTCACATAAATATTAGGTTGGTGCAAAAGTAATTGGAGTTTTTGCCATTAAATTACTATTGCACCAACCTAATATTAGTATCACCCTATTTGACTCTAAAATTTCAACTTTAAGACCCTTTGAGATTTGGCTTCTGATCATTTTTCAAGTCTTATTTTATGCCACCCTCCCTAAACACATCTCCCTTATTCAACCTTTTCTTTGGTTTTATGACTACCCTAAAGAACTGGCATGAGTTTTTTTTGTATGCCAGAATCACTCTGCCTCCAGTTCACTGGTCAACTCTTACTCATTTCCCAGGTTACACTTGAAACACTTCTTCCCTAGGGAGGCTTTCCTTGACCCTAAAGTCTTATATCCAGATTAATTCATTAGTTCTCCATTAATTGCTCTAATAAAACTGTCACTTCCCTTTTGTAGTCTTCCCATCATTGTAGGTACAGACTTTGTTTAATATCTATTTTCTCTTATAGACTGTAAGCTCCAACAAGGCAAAAACCAAGTCATCTTTGTGACTTCTCTTCTCCTGGAGCCTGGTACAGGAGTGATTGGCACAAAGAGTTTGTAAATATCATAAGATACATGAAATGTAATGACTCTCCTTATCTCCATCACACAAATAAAGAAACTGAGATTTGTAAAAGTTTATATATAATCTTCAATCATATTCCTGGTAAATAATAAGGATTTATTTTTAAGCTCACATAAAGAGAATTTACTTAAAAAATTAAAATTACAGAGGAAGCTTGGGACACAACAAAAATAAACAATTTCTATTAATACACTTACCAAGTGTATTACATAATATGAGAATATATCATATAAAAAATTATGAAACTATGCTAAAGAACAAAAAAGAAATTTTTGAAACTTATTTTTGGCTCAGGGGTACATGTGCAGGTTTGAAATATATGTAAATTCATATCATGGGGGTCTGTTGTACAGATTATTACATCACCCAAATACTAAGCCCAGTACCCAATATTTATCTTTTCTACTCTTCTCCCTCCTCCTGCCTGTGCCCTCAAGTGGACCCCAGTGTCTATTGTTCCCTTCTTTGTGTTCACTAGTTATCATCCTTTAGCTCTCACTTATAAGTGAGTACATATGGTATTTGGTTTTCTTTTCCTGTGTTAAGTTTGCTAAGGATAATGGCCTCCAGCTTCATCAATTTTCCTGCAAAAGACATGATCTCATTCTTTTTTGTGTATGCATAGTATTCCACGGTGTATGTAGGCCACATTTTCTTTATCCAATTTGTCATTGATGGGCATTAAAGTTAACTCCATGTCTTCGCTATTGTAAATAGTGCTGCAATGAACATTTGTATGCATGTGTATTTATGGTAGAATAATTTGTATTCCTTTGGGTATATACCCAGTAACGAAATTCCTGGGTCAAATGGTAGTTCTGTTTTTAGCTCTTTGAGAAATCACCATACTGCTTTCCACAATGGTTGAATTTACACTCCCACCAAAAGTGGTGTTTGCTTTTCTCTACAGTCTCATCAGTATCTGTTATTTTTTTACTTTTTCATAATAGCCATTCTGACTGATGTGAGATGGTATCTCATTTTGGTTTTGATTTGCATTTCTCTAATGATCAGTGATATTGAGGTGTTTTTCATATGCTTCTTGGCCACATGTATGCCTTATCTTAAAAAAATGTCTGTTCCTGTCCTTTGCCCTCTTTTTAATGAGGCTGTTTTTCTTTAGTAAATTTGTTCAAGTTCCTTATAAATGCTGGATATTAAACCTTTTGTCAGATGCATAGTTTGCAAAACTTTCCTCCTATTCTGTAGGTTGTTTACTCTGTTGATGATAGTTTCTTTTGCTGTGCAGGAACTCACTCATCAATTTTTGCTTTCATTGCTACTGTTTTTGGCACGTTTGTCACCAATCTTTTCCCATTTCTATTCCAGGATGGTATTGTCTAGGTTGCCTTCCAGGGATTTTATAGTTCTGGGTTTTACATTTAAGTGTTTAAGTCACTTTGATATGATTTTTGCATATGGTGTAAGGAAGGGGTCCATTTTCAACCTTTTGCTTCCGGCACCATTTATTAAATAAGGATTATTTTCCCCACTGCTTGTTTTTGTCATCCTTGTCAAAGATCACATAGTCATAGGTCTTATTTCTGGACTCTATTATTCTGTTCCATTGGTCTATGTGTCTGTTTTTGTAGCAGTACCATGCTGTTTTGTTTACTGTGGCTCTGTAGTATAGTTTGAAGTTGGATAATGTGATACCTCCAGCTTTGTTCTTTTTGTTTAGGATTGCCTTGGCTATTTGGGACCCTTTTTAGTTCCAAATGATTTTTAAAATAGCTTTTTCTACTTCTGTGAAGAACGTCATTTGTAGTTTGATAGAAATAGCATTGGCCAGGTGTAGTGGCTCACGCCTGTAATCCCAACATTTTGGAGGCCCAGACAGGTGGATCACCTGAGGTCAGGAGTTCAAGACCAGTTTGGTCAACATGGTGAAACCCCATCTCTTCAAAAAATCCAACAATTATCCAGGTGTGGTGGCATACATCTGTAATCCCAACTACTCAGGAGGTTGAGGCACAAGAATCACTTGAACCTGAGAGGCGGAGGTTGCAGTGAGCTGAAATTCTGCCACTGCACTCCAGCCTGGGCAATAAGAGTGAGATTCTGTCTCAGGAAAAAAAAAAAACAAAAAACAAAAAAAAACCCAGCATTGAATGTGTAAATTGCTTTGGGTAGTATGGCCATTTTAATGACATTGATTCTTCCTATCCATGAGCATGGAATGTTTTTCCATTTGTTTATGTCATCTCTGATTTCTTCAAGTAGTGTTTTGTAATTCTCATTTAGAGATCTTTCACCTCCCTGGTTAGCTGTATTTTATTTTTGGTGGCAATTGTGAAAGGGATTGTCTTTCCAAATTGGTTCTTGGCTTGGCTATTATTGGTGTGTAGCAATGCTAGGCATTTTTGTACATTGATTTGTATCCTGAGACTTTGCTGAAGTTGTTTAACAGCTTACAGAGTTTGTGGGCCAAGACTATATGGTTTTCTAGGTATAGAAACATGTTGTCTGCAAAGATGGATAGTTTGACTTCCTCTCTTCCTATTTGGATGCGCTTTATTTCTTTCTGTTGCCTGATGGTTCCGACCAGGACTTCTAATATCATGTTGAATGGGAGTGGAGATAAAGGACATCCTTGTCTTCTGCTGCTTTTCAAGGGGAATGCTTCCAGGTTTTCCCCATTCAAAATAATCTTGGCTGTGGGTTTGTCATAGATGACTCTTATTATTTTGGGGTATGTTCTTTTAATAAAAATAAAAGTTTATTGAGAGTTTTTAACATGAAGGAATGTTGAATTTTATCAAAAGTTTTTCTGCATCTATTGAGATTTTCATTTTTTTAGTTCTGTTTATGTGATGAATCACATTTATTGATTGGCATAGGTTGAATCAACCTTGCATACCAGAGATGAAGCCTGCTTGATCGTGGTGAATTTGTTGAGGATTATTGCATAGTGTTCATCAAGCATACTGGCTTGTGTGTCTCCACCACGTTTTAGTATCAGGATGGTGCTGGTCACATAGAATGAGTAGGGGAGAAGTTCTTCTTCCTCAATTTTTTGTAACGGTATCAGTAGGAATGGTACTTGCTCTTATTTGTACATCTGGTATAATTATTCTGTGAATCCTTCTGGTCCTGGGCTTTTCTTTAGTTGGTAGGGTAGACTATTTATTATGCACTCAACATTAGAGTTTGTTATTGGTCTGTTCAGGTAATCAATTTCTTCCTGGTTCAGTCTTGGGAAGGTGTATGTGTCCAGTAATTTATCCATCTCTTCTCAGTTTTTTAGTTTGTGTGCATAGAGGTGTTTATAGGAGCTTGTGATGGGTATTTTTATATCTGTGGGGTCAGTGGTAACATCTCCTTTGTCATTTCTAATTGTGTTTATTTGCATATTCTTTTTTCATTAGTCTAGCTAG